TAATAAAATAAATTTAAAACGTTGTAAAAATTTATTATACTTTACAATTTTAACAGTAACAAGATTTAGGAAAATTAACAATTCGTGTAATTTGTATGCTACCACTCTATTTAGATGCAAATTTTATTATTTCCGATGCAGATTATTTCAGAAAACTATTTGTCCTAATTAATTATAACAATGCATAATATCTTCTCACCTTAAATCCTCCCAAGTCTCAGTACAGTGATGCTGCAGATTCATGGTAAATAAATAAGGAATATTATAAACTTCATTCTGTATTTGCCATTGAACTTGAGTGAAAAGAATTATCCATGTAGGATAAAAGAAGTCTTAATAAAATAAGAAAAGAAAAATGTAAGGCAAAATATTCCAGAATATAGTAACATTTACCGTATTTCTCATTCATGATAACACAATAAAGCAAGCTCATTTTTATAGATGCGTTTTAGTAACTACTTTTGGTAAAACTAACAATAAGATATGGTATTTATTACCATGCTGTTTAATAGTAAATTTGGTAAAATTTGGTAATTTTATCATAATACCTTCGGGCATTGCAGAAAAACCATTTATTCGATTACATTTACATTTCAGTTTAGTATTTGTTACTGTTGTATGGTACTAAGAATTAGAATTTAGAAAAACAGAATTTCCGGTAAGCATGTTACCATAGCGAATGTTAAAATTAGGAAATGAGTGGTTTAAATACTGTATATTTTGGTATAATTACCAAAATAATGGTTTCTTTAACCAGAAATGTCTTTGAAAGTAATTTAGTCAATTTTTTTTTCTGAATATAATACAGTTGGAGTGATAATTTTTAATTTCTGTGGTGTAAGTAAGTTAGAGGACTCATCATCTGTTTAATGACGTCCGCTAACTTCGGTGCCTCTATAGAGAACAGACATCTATAGAGAACTATAGAGAACAGATTTTAGGTTGTCTCAAGTGGCATCATTCCCAATTCCAGAACATGTGGTGTGAGTGCTGGGCACTGCGGGGGATATATATGTCCTGGCCTTGTCCATGAGAATTTTCACCCCTTTGAAATGTTGGTTCTAAGTCTATTTTTCTGCTTTGTTAATAAAGAATAGACATGACTGAAGCCAAGTTCTACCATATGTGAGTTTGAGAGTGCATTTAAAAATGGAAATGCCGCATTACAAAGTTTTGTATATTTTTAGGTAATATTTTCATTGGTCCAGAATTTACTCACAGTTTAATTATTTCAAATTATCTTTGCTTCAAGAACAACTAAAAATCAATGACTACATCTTGTTGATATTTTTTTACATAAGCAGAAAGTGGAACGATAATCCATTCCGAGATAGCCATATCTTCAATATCTCTAAATCCTAATTTAAAATTATCGTTTGGTTCTTAAAATTTTTGCGATTGAATAGCATTGCTGGTATTCATTCATAAACTCCCGTGTTCAAATAGACTCTTAATTGTACAATATTGACCTACTAGATCGAATCAATTAATAATTATACTATATCGATCCCGACCACTTTTTTCTACAATAATATATATTTTTAAGTATATATTGTTGTAGATTCAAAAAATTGTGTATTCAAAAAAAATATATATTTTTTCATTTAATCACCTTTGCTTAGGCATGTCCCAATGCTCAGAAGTAAAACTTATTTAAAACTTTAAATGCATTCTCTTGATCTAAAACAATTTTGCAACGAATTCTTCTACTTATTTTACATTTTCTATTTAAATTAAGCAAAAATAGTTGTAAACTTATTACTTTGCAAGCATAGAAAAAATTTACGTTAAAGTAAAAATGACTAAAGCAGTCCTAAACATGAAAGCATTTGCTACAAATGACATGCGACAAGTAATTAAATATTAAATTTCTTTTAAACAGAGTAAAGAAATAGCCTCACTAATTTTCTTCAGCTTCCAAGCGTAGATACTAGCATATCTAAAATTTAATAGAATTCGGAAAGAGGAAAAAATCCAGTGAATTCGAAGACACAATTTTCCGACTTTTCTATGTTTCAAAGGAATTCTTTGACTTAAATAATGGCTAGGAACCTCTTTCAAATTAAGAAAAAAAAAGTCGGTATTTTTCAGTTTTTATTTTCTATTTCATTTAATGTCTGTTGATGAAATTCAAACTAAATATTTATTTTCTTCAAATATTAAATAAACCATTGAAGCTTATGTACACTTTTAAAATTCGAAACAAAAATTGTAGGAATACCAAAACTGTTTAAGAATGCTTTTAATCATCAGATTTATTAAAAGTTCAATTAGCTATTTCCTTTAAATAATTTTTAGATAGGAATAAAATAGAATGATTGTAAGTATCTTTGCTTACACACCGCTCCTTGTAAGCATTCTTTTCCAATGAATGTAATAAAGTTTTTTAAGGGTTAATAAAAAGATACGCCCAAGAAGAGTGTCAAAAACGATTATATAGTTGTCAAACTTACGGTTATAGAGACAGAATTTAGAAATTTTCAAAAGGTAATTATTTTTTCCTCATTAAAACGTGGTTAGCACAGTAAATTTGTTGATGCAAAATGTAGTTTGTATTTATAGCACATAAATTAGCGATGCTAGACAGAGATGAAGAGAGCAAGGTGTATCATACAATTCATTGAGCTTTCTTCTTTCGACCCGTTGTTTTCTGAGCAAGTTCTGAGTCACTGACACGCGTGAGGATATTTTTAAAATACTCTTTTTTTGTATACTAACTCACTGAAAATGCTTCAACTCATTGTGAAATATATTTTTTACGATGAGGACCACATTTATGTAAAATAGCAATTGTTGGTATTTTAGAAATTCTGTCAATGTAACCATGACAGCAAGAGCGGCATGATGGTTTTAACACTACACTTGAGTGTACATTTAATAATCACATGGTTGTGTCTAATCACGTGGTAGTGCATGGTGTGATAATGTTACAACTTTAATGCTTGCATTTATTATCCCCCTGAACTACTTTTCGTATCAGGATTAATTGTATGATTGCAAGCGACGCCACGTGTGTGTGTCAAATCAGATTGGTTGACCCACAGGTGACGTTATTTACAAGTATACAAATGAGAGTAAAGTGAATGAACTTTTTTCTTCTATTAATAAATCGCGCAATTATCTTTATCATCTATATGTTTTGAAGATATTCAATCAGTAAGTGAAATATTAAATCTCTGGTGTTTTTTAGATGCTTAATTTCTTCATTAATTTCATTGTAATCTTGAATATAACATTTTTAAGCATTTAGAACTAGTAAAAAGTAAAAATAATTTAACTGAACTGTATGTGTATATAATGTGAATAATAATAATAATAAATAGTACCTAAATAGAAGGTACCTTAATACACCGAAAAAAGAATAACTAAAGATTGTGAATTGTTTTTGCTTATTTTAAATGTTTTTTTTTTGCACAAAATTTTTTATTAGTTTCTAACAAAAGAATCTAAGAAAAACCATTGTTTCCCACTGTTTTTGGAACATTTTTGCTGGCCAGAAAATTGCCTGGTAGGATCCAGTATTCAGACATTATTTTAATTATCATTTTGATTATCATCTGCATAAAATAAAATAAAAGTCATAAAGGTATTGCTTTCCTATAAAATATATAATAGTATTCTAAATTTGAAGGTACTTGAAATATTCTTTTAAAATTTTATTCAGTCATTATTATGATTTGAATTTTAATTATTTTATAATTAAAGAATTTAAAAGTGAAATAGTTGTTTCTTTACTATATTATAATCCCATGATTACGCCTCATTTTAAGATAAAGTCATTTTAATGGTGTGTAAACTTATTAACCATTTTACAATTGTAATTTTTGATGCACATTACATTAATATGCCATCATAAATTACTGGTAACGAGAATACCTGGAGAGAATAAGAAACTGGTAATAGATATTGGGCATGAAATGCACAATATGCACTTCATGCACAATATGCTGCATTCCCACATTGTATTTAATATATCAGCCTGTTTGGTAAGTGAGGATAAATAAAGTACGGTTTTGAACTCTCAAAATTTGTAATAACAATATGCCTTTAATTTTAATGTTATTTTAAGAATGATTGCTAAGCAAAATTATTTATGTTCACTTATAGAACTTAATAGAATCATAAGCAATATAGATTCGTAGCATTTCGCCGGCACAAGTAAATTCAGCCATTTTATTTATCTGTTTATCAATTTGTATTTTTTAAAAAATAAGCGTGATTTAAAGGTAATGATTGAACAATAATAATAAACAATTGAATTTACTTGGTCCCTGTGACTCTACATGGACAACTTAATCACCTGCTCCTGCGAAATGGAAAAGTACCGTACGAGATACTTCATACTTTTTACCAATCAAATTAATTTAAATATTTCACGTCCATGTTGGACGTGAAGAGGAGGCACAAGCGTAAGCAAGCAGAACTCTTTAAAGTACAGTTATTTCAGGTCAATAATTTTAACTTTCGTGGAAAAAACTGTTTCATATTAAAAATCAAAAATTATTGCTAAGCAATCATCTGGGTTAGTGAGCAGTAGCGTACAGGGGGCTTAACCCCCTAGTAATAAATAATACTTTAAAGTGTCCAAAATATCTTTAATGTATAAATTTAATGCAAAAATTTAGTTTTTTAACCAGTTCCAAACGAAATTTTTTTTTTTAACTCTGTTGTTTCACCCAATAATGAATATTAACATCGATCAGTTGCAAGAAGTAGACATTCAATTGTCTTACAAAAACGCTCATAATGATACAGAATTTATTATTGATTAATTTATGCACATTTCAAATTTACAACTACAGATATTTAGAACTCATTAATGCATAAAGAAATTTCAAATCATTAAATTTGCAACAAAATATCCGTATAGATATTCGAATAAATATTGGATGGATGTAAACAAGCCATTTTCTTAAAGTAATGATTCTTCTTTTTAAAAACATGAATAGTCTCCTAGCGCAAAGATAGAATATGTTTTATAATTTGGTATTTGCTTTCAGGTAAATATAGAGAAAGAAATACCAATTGTTTGTTTACATTTGCTACATCATCAGTCTAAATTCAGTCTTTTTATTTTGGTAAGCATTCGAATCCTTGAAGGAAAACTTTTTCTAACTTTCTCTGCATCAGAATATTTTCATGTATCTATAAAACAGAAAGATTTTATTTATTTTTTAAAAAATGGATGTTCATGGTAAGCATAGAAAAAGCTATAAACACCAACACTTAAAGTTCCAACTATAATAATAGTTTTAAAAAGTTTGATAATAAAACTAGAGTTCAAGTATAAAAAAAAACATTTTGAATAATAACAACATTCATAGCAACTTATATTTTAAACGGTAAAACAAACGATAACGATAAACAACTAAAGATTTTTTTTTATGGTACAAGTGTTTACAGCACACATGTGGAAAAATAAATACAAAAATTTTAAAATCCAAGGACAACAATAAATGTTAAAAATCAGTTCAATTATGAAAATAATCCATTTCAAACAATAATGAGATTTAGAAGAATATGAAAATAAATGCATATTTTTGTTGCATATTTTAAAATATTTCCATAAAATAAATAATATTTTATTTTATGGAAAAGAGCTGTGCGTATTGCTTTTTTTATTAATTTTTATTTAAATTCTAAGACAACTTTCTCACCTGAGTATGAAATTAGTTAATTGAATAATATTCAGTTAAAATTCTCGTATTAAATTCAGTTAAACTATGTAAAAAAAAACTTTTTTTACATATTTTAAATAACATTACATAATTAAATTTTATTACGTTATAGGATTCATAGGATAGTTCTACTCCAGCCTCTTTTTATAAATTATTAATTCAAATTCAATTTTCATGGAATTAAGCATATGGCAATTTAAAAGCAAAGCATGCAGTGATACGCTTCGATAATGTTTTAATCTAGCAGTATATATATATATATATATATATATATATATATATATATATATATNATATATATATGAATGAAAATTGTTTATAGGACGTATCATGTCTAATCTCCCCAAAAAAGGAAAGTAGAAAAAGCCGCCAACCTGAAAAAGATTCAAAAAAGAAATGCAAGTTTCTTCGTAATGAAAAACAGGAAGAAAATCGGTTAAATTTCCCTTGTAATGAACAAAGCCTACTTCGGATTCTAATTTTATTACAACAAATCCCTAAAATAATTAGTTTTGTGAATCAGAGTCTTGAAAATATATACTACCTTGATTTTTGTTTTAAATTTAAGTTCTAGTCCTTTAATGGCTTCGCCGTTAGAGGTCGCCACCCGTCTAAAGAATTTGGTGAATATTTGCAAAGTTTAAATTAACTTACATCTGTTTTTACGATTTATAAGTGATTATAAGTTTATTAAATTGGAGGGTATAATCGAAAAGTTTATTTAAGTTAAAGTCCTTTGATCAACAAATCATTCGAATCCGTTGAAGAAAAGGTATGTTTTTTGAGAGAAAGTACGTTTTTGTGTCTGATTTCCTAACTTAAAATGTCGCTTACACTAATTAATTAGCATATATGAGGTCACCATCTCTAACCATTAGGATTGAGTCCTAGAACGTGAAGATTCGCTCATTAGATCAAAAGTTATTCAGGGTGGTCGATTTTTTTTCTTTTTTTGCCCGCTGTGCATTTTTATTTTATTTTAATCACATTTTCATTACTTAAAATTTCGCACATTTCTAATTTTGCAAATTCAAAATTTTAAGATTTTACGGAGTATCTTAAAAAAGAAAAAAACAAATTCATTCAAAAAGCGGAAAAAAAATTGTGAATGATGAATGACTTTGTTTGATAAGTATTGATAAGTAATTATAAGTTTGATAAGTAAATATTTTTTATGTATGTATTTTCAGAGTGAAAAAAAAAGAACATGCCATCATCACGTTTCTATGTGGCAGGAATGTTATTGTTCTTAATGATGCTGAGCTTTGATATGAAAACTACAGAAGGTAGACGATGTACCAGAATTTGCGAGAAAGGGAGATGCAGACCCGTATGCTCTCGTTCTATGGAGTAAGTTTTACATAAATTTCCACAAAAACTATCGTACCTAGGAAGAGTTGTCAAACTGAAACGAAAATTTAACATGCAAAAGTATTACGTTGATATAAGTAAGAAATTAAAAAAATCAAAGCCGAAAGATCATTTATTACCAGAAAGGATGCAACTGAGTGGAGGTTTTTAGCTCCCTCTTGGGTCCCTTCCGGTGATACGATCGGACATTGAAGCATGTAAGTTCCTTAGGCTATCCTGCAGCGTCTCGACCTACAGTTGCTGTGAAAACATCGATAACTCAGAGGCTATTCAACTTACCGTCCCAAGTGGGCCCAGATATGCTTGTTCGGTGACAAATCTGGGGATCGTGCAGAGCAGGGGACGGCGGAAATGTGGCGGAGGCAATCCTGTGACACCCTTCTTGTGTATGGTAGAGCATTGTCAGTCGATAAAGCAATTAGTAGAGCGTAAATGTAGTATCTTAATTTTGTTTTACTAGGAATTTTTCAAATACATACTTCCCTTATCGTCGGGTACTATAAGCAGATAAAATAAAATTTTGAAAGCTGATTTCAAACACTCAAATTGTAATTTCTTTGGCAAAGGGATTTTTTCGGAAGCCACTTAACCCCTTCCCTCTCGATCCCGTCAAAAACATGGGATAAGCTGTTGCTTTCTATTTATATATTTTTCCGGGCCAGAGCGTGCAAGAGTTAATGTACCAAAAAAGTTTAAATTTATCCATCTCTTGTGTCCGGATTTTTTTATCTCTTATTTTACACACTATATGGTTACACAAGACTATTTTTAATGTAAACTGGAGATAGTTAATTATAAACTAGATTTCAGCGCTATCCAAATATGTGTATTTTGTATTCAGCTACTTGTGCTCTTTGTGAATAAACGTGTTTTGTGTTTTGTGATAAAATATTTTTAAATATTGTGTGCATTATGGAGTCAGTGTCACATGGACATATGGAGTTTTAAATTTCAAGGTAAGAAAAATTTCAAAAATCAAAAATGAATACATATATTATAATTCTCTTGAATTAAAAAAGAGACACTTTTATAGCCATTTTCTTGAAAATAATAAGATTGTTAAGGAGTTAGGAAAGAACCCTGAAAACAATATTATTCTTAAATTTAATTGTACAGTAATGTTAAACAAAACCCCGAAAACATCCATGCATATGAGATAAATATTTCATAAAACTTTTGGTTTACGCGTGTTTGGTACTAGTTCTTACTTCCTGTTGTTAGAACTAATGAAAAATTGTTTTACGAATGAAAATTATACAGTACCTAATTTTTAACTTTAAGTTTTGAGTACATTGTTTTTCATAAATTNTATTTCACTCAAGTTGAGTTAAAAAAATTTAACTCTTTTTTGAGTAGGGGAAATAACTCTTTCATTTTAAGAGAATGAAAATAATAAGATTGTTAAGGGGTTAGGAAAGAACCCTGAAAACAATATTATTCTTAAATTTAATTGTACAGTAATGTTAAACAAAACCCCGAAAACATCCATGCATATGAGATAAATATTTCATAAAACTTTTGGTTTACGCGTGTTTGGTACTAGTTCTTACTTCCTGTTGTTAGAACTAATGAAAAATTGTTTTACGAATGAAAATTATACAGTACCTAATTTTTAACTTTAAGTTTTGAGTACATTGTTTTTCATAAATTTAATTAATCTAGGGCTATTTACAAGGCCAGAAGTGCAATAATTTATATAAAAAGAAACAAGAAACAAATATACCCAATAAAGAACATTAATTATATTCTCAGCAAATTGGGTACTGCCTATTAGTCACATGGTTGTGTTTAATCACGTGGTTGTGCATAGCGTGTTAACGTTACAGGTTCAGATTTAATTGGATGCCTTCAAGCGGTTTCACGCGTTTTTGTCAAGCCTAATTCACTGACCCACGTGTGACAGCGCTTGCAAGTATCCAATTAAAAAATAGCATAATGCAATAACATGCAAATTAAGAATGCTTTTTGAAATATATTAGTCAAAACTTTTATACATTAAATGTAGACAACTTTCACACGAATAAAATAAGTATTTGGAGGATATGGTTATGTTGAAGTAATGTTGTTTCTCCTTAAGTAAGTTTAAAAGCAAAGAGTTTTGAGAGTTTATTACACAGAGCTGGTTTTTTCTGTACTAGCAAACCTTTGGCCTTATGGATCTTTAAAAGATTTTCAGTGAGCTAAAAATTTTAGGTGATTGAAAAATTATAGAAAAGTTTAAATTTGCATTTATAAAAAATATAAAAGCAATACTAAATCAGCTAAGTGTATTTTTTTTATAAACAAATTATTTAACAATCCCTTATTTTATAAATTCTTAGGAACTAAGGCAACAAAATTCTGACAATTAAAGAATGGGTGTAGAATTGACGTGAAAGGTTTTTTGTTCTCCGAAATTCCCATGTAGTTGCCCTTACTATTAAATAATATTAGATTTAATGCATTTTAAACACAAAGTATGGAACTAGCATAGTGATTACTTTTTATTATGAATTATGCTAACAAATTTGGCTCCATGACATAAGCCCAATTCAGCTCCATAACTTCTTAAATATCTTAAGATTGTTAAACAGAATTAAATTCGGCGGTGTCCCTTGCGATGCTCCTGCTTCTACTCATTTAAAAATAATTTTATTTTTGAATAATTTAGTGCTTTCCATGGAGAATTAAATCAATCCAACTTCACTTAGAAAATGAGCAATAAAAAATATAAATTAAAATTGGAATCGAGCAGAAAATGTTTTAGAAAACTGAAATAAAGAGGACTGTAAAAGAAAGTATTTTCAGAGTTTTGGGTAAAAAAAGAAAGTTTAACTTTATTTGGAAGAAAATGACCCTATTAAAATAATTGGAGATTGTCTCAAATCAAACGAGTAAAATCAATAAATTGAAAAGTATTATACTATTAAAATAGAAACGTCCGAATGTTTCTAATGAAATACCTATTAAAATTTTTAAAGATAGGAGCAGTTTTCTGCATAGAAAATACATGCATAAGGGAATTGGGTTCTTGCACTTCAAGAAGAAGAAAAGATCACGGATACCCACACATGTAACCCTATGACATCAGCGCCTGTTGATCGTTTACCCAGCTGGCTTGTTAAAGTTGAGCTAAGTTTCTCCACATAAAGTTAGAATGATAGCTAACGAGAAGTTAATCAAATACAGTGCCGTATCGCACATAGAATTTATTGAAATATAATTCTTTCTCGTCTGCTTCTTTTACTTAACTTAGATTTATTATTTGCTTATGTATTTTATTGTAACCTTGATAAATTTTTGTTTTATGTACCTGGCAACGTCGATGCATAATTAGTTTGTTTATGTCTTATGTGGCTTCTTGCCTGTCTTTGTGTTAAATAAGAAATATATAAGTGAAAGAATTGAAATCTTTGTGAAAGAATCTTTGTGTAAGAATATAGAGTGTGTAAGTTAAGAAAATAGATACTTGAAAGGTTTGACTTACCCGAAATAGAATGGAAAGGACAGTTGCTAACGCAAAGAAAAGCCATGTTTCAACAACCAATCAGGATCGAGATACCTACAACGTCACTTGCAAATATCCATTAGGGAAAGGAAAATTCACTAATTTTTAATTTAAAACATTTAAAATTTTGGACATTTATTACATAAATGAATTTTATTTATTATATACTGTAAAAATATTCGGGATAAGTTTAAAGTTCATCATAAATGCTAATGAATCTGAAATTAAAAGTCAATATTGCTTTCAGAAGATTTCGTATTATTCTTGTTTAGTTTTTGCTCAAAGACAATGCTGGCACGAGCACTTGTGTTTAGATTGTTCATTAACAAGTTTTTAAAAATGCATTATAAGCTTGTTTATTTTACTTGCAATTGGGTATAATATAAAAAAAACACAACTACTTCCACTTAGTAGGAATAACATTTACCATGACGCAATGCTAAATTTTATGCCACTATCCACATAAATGCTACTATCCACATAAATCAATTATTAATCAAAAATCGAATATCAATTACTTTTCTTTATAATGCAATAAAATCTGGCGAGCAGCTANATAAAGTGAAAGAATTGAAATCTTTGTGAAAGAATCTTTGTGTAAAAATATAGAGTGTGTAACTTAAGAAAATAGATACTTGAAAGGTTTGACTTACTCGAAATAGAATGGAAAGGACAATTGCTAACGCAAAGAAAAGCCATGTTTCAACAACCAATCAGGATCGAGATACCTACTACGTCACTTGCAAATATCCCATTAGGGAAAGGAAAATTCATTAATTTTTAATTTAAAACATTTAAAATTTTGGACATTTATTACATAAATGAATTTTATTTATTATACACTGTAAAAATATTCGGGATAAGTTTAAAGTTCATCATAAATGCTAATGAATCTGAAATTAAAAGTCAATATTGCTTTCAGAAGATTTCGTATTATTCTTGTTTAGTTTTTACTCAAAGACAATGATGGCACTAGCACTTGTGTTTAGATTGTTCATTAACAAGTTTTTAAAAATGCATTATAATCTTGTTTATTTTACTTGCAATTCAGAATAACTGTGTACCAAAAAATAATTAGTACGATTTTCTCTGGCTTTTTTTTAATCCTAAACAAACACGTACTCAAAACTTTCTCCTATCTAATTTTCTCCTACGTATGCAACATTTTATCACTACATCGAAACCATAACTATTTAGTATTCATTTCATTGTACTTAGTAATTCCCCACTGATTTATCTCCTGACAAGGAATATAGTATTCGAACTAAAAGAAAAATCTTTATTAATTATTCATTACGTTGTAGTTTAAATTTCCTAACCAGCCTTTCGAAAATAATATAAGTGAACTTAAATCACGCAATAAAATATCACGCTAGTTTTCAGTTACTTTCTTAAAATAAAAAGTACTGAAATTGCTCATGGCTATGAATTTAAAACATTAAATTCCCTTATGCCTTGTTTTACAAAGTGATACAAAGTAAAGAATTAAAATACGCCTAAATTTAGTTACTAATCTATGTTTTGAGTTGATTTAAAAAATAAATAAATAAAACCTAATTTAGTAAATATTTGAGTCAATTTTAAATTTATTGCAAATTTGCGTAACTAGTTTCATACAGAGTCTCTCAAATTCAGCACTAAATTGCTTTTGTACTAAAGTTTTTAGATCTTTTATGACTTATACATCTGAAACTTGTGAACCCTTTCTATATGATTGAAAAGTCTCGGGATTTTTGTGAGATAGATGTTGTGATGCATACGTTTTTAGGTCCAACTGATAGGATCATGGAAAAGATGATCAAACTTAACTCCATAAGAATTACAGACAACCTTAGATAGTAGAATCCATCGAATTACATGGATTCAAATGTATGGCCATCTATCCAGCTTGCAAAAAGAAGAATGCAGAATGCCGTAAAAAAATCTCTTCTGTCAAAACCCATAGGAATTGATCTCGGGGCAAATCCTGAGAGGTGTTGATTGTGTTGAAAAAAAATCTTTTAATACAAAGATCTTATAAGTTTAGAAAGATCTTAGAAGTTTAAGAGAAGTTAAAGCGTTAAACTAGATTTAAAGTCTTAAATCATTAGTTGAAATATTTACTTATATTTGAATAAAAAGAACCTCTCAATAAACAATAAACAACTTTATTACTTAAACTTAAGTACTTTAACATAGATGTGCAGTAGAGGAAAAAATAAGTAAATAATTTGATTCGTTTTAAGGAAATATAATTTGAGTATCTCAAATAAAATTTTCTTTAAAATATTTGATATTGTTAAGTAAAGTTCGGCATGAAAATTTGCCTAATATTTTTCTTAAATCTATGCTAAAGTTTGTTGAAACAGAAGTGTGATTAGTCACAGAAAGAAAAAACTTTTATTTCCAAAAAAAATTTTTTTTCCATAATACTATCCATAATATCCACAGTACTATATAATTCATAATACTATATATATACGGATCTTATACACAGATTTAAACATAAAATTTGTCTTAGATAAAAGTTAAAACTGTGCAAATATTATCAATATTTTTCTTTTATTTAAGGATTAGGAATACTAATTACTAATTGTTTAATAAGTCATTAGTTTCACAGTAATATTAATTAAAGTTCCTAATTTTAATAAAGAGGAAAATCTCAATTGTATTTGCAATTCAATCAGCCTAATAAAAAGTGCGATAAATCTTCAAAAAGCTTAAATCTGAGTTTTTGGTAAATACATCTGATAATACAATAAAGTGTTAATGGAAATTATTATTCATACAAAAAGCGTTTCATAGAAACTTTTGATATGCATTTCTAAATTAAATTATTTTCATCAATTGCAAATCAGCTCTTATACAATAACTATGACTTAAAATCTATTGTGTTCAATAGTAATATTAACTAATTTTTGTAATTTCATTCATTGAATGAGTTTGATAGAAAATAGATATATTTTAGGATTTGACACAATGTGGAAGTTATAGTTACAATGTAAAGTTGGATGCTAATTATAGATATTAAATTCTTTTTTTCGCTTTTAGAGGACAGTTGACGTTTAGAATGCGAAAATTTCTTAAAAAATCCATTATTTGGTTTTTGAGATAATAAAAAATTCACTTTTCACTAAGGAATATGCAACCAGTCGTATTCAAATCAGAGTTTTCTTCATTGAGTTAAAAAAAACATTGAGTTTGCAAAGATCTATTCATGAATATGCAGTTTTCGTTGACAAAGTTGTTTTTTCTCGTTATGGAATTTTTCAATGTTCTCACAAATTTAGAAAGTTCCTTGCCTATCTGTTTTTGTTTTATTGTTATGAGAATTTTTTATGTGCCTCTTTTAATTTTAAATACATTTGATTAACTCAATATCATAATTTAATTTTTTAATAATTTATAACTAAATTGTGCTTTTTAAAAAAAAATATGTGAAAAAATAAAAATTTTACTCCTAGGTTTTTCGCCATAGCATTTTAAATTAATTTTATTACCTATAAGCCACGTATTTAAGACAAAATTGAATTTAAAAAATTGATATTCGATAGCAAGGAACCTTTTAGTTATCAACAATTAAAAACCATAATTTCAGCTATAACTTTGAAACTGAACATTATTTCTCTAAAACTTTGAACACACAGACATCTATTAATGTTAGCAATATTCTGCTAAAATCTGGAAAGGATGGGATGAAAATTGCACTTTTTGTTTTGAACGTCCTTCATCCCATGTTATTTTTGTTACTAATGTCACTTGGGAATACCATCAAGCCTGTTACGAGAATCCAAGCGATATTAAGACGAACTGGAACATTTTTACAGAAGTACAGATATTGCATTATTATTATTTTTATGTCATGAATAACTTTCTGGTGGTTTAATTCGAGTATTTTAACGTTTTTCTTATTTATTTATTTTTAAAAAGAATTTGCCATTCTTTCAAAAAATGGTAATTAAAAATCTGGTGCGTAATAAAAAATAAACATCCCGATCTACTTTATCAGATCACGTACTAACATTCAATCTTAATGGTTTTAGGGACTAATCTTAAAGACGTTAATTAATTACAGTAGACGATATTTTAACTTACAAAATTAGACACTACAAATACTTTTTTTAGTATAGATTGAGATTCTCGATCCTGATTGAGATTCTTGATCCTGATAGCCGAATTCAGAAAATATGGCCCAAATAGTTTAGATGGAAGAGCAGGTGAAAGTTCGGACCTCTTTATGTCAGTTTAATTTTCGGCGTATTTCGCTTATCTCGAGAACTTTTGACCGAATTAACTTAGTAAGCATATACAACTTAGTAAGCATTATTCTGAAACAACAATCATGACAAACTATATTTTAGTTTTGTAGATGAAGCACCCGTGGATGAGACAGAAATACTTAGAAATCTGGGTTATCAGTGACAAGAGCATCGACCGAACCTGATATAATCTGAAGTAAGGATCATCAGGTAAATAATTGTTTAAAAAATAATAATAATGCTTTGTTAAATGATCTATGCCCAAGCAATCATAACTGAGATTCTTATTGTTGTAAAATTATGATGCTAATAATTCTTTTTAACGTGTTCCAATTAAAAGTTCTCGAAAACTCGTTTTAATCGTCTGTATTGCTTTTTTTTTTATCTTTAAATATGGTGTAGAAACGTTAAAATCACTTTTAGGTATTAGAACTATAAATAAAACTTCACAAATTTGACTTCATTTAAAGTATAGTTTCGTAAAGGTGTTTAAAAGTAAATAATATTAAATTATTTTCATTTTTTAGTCAGTTTAATTTTAAAAAAAAACTATCAAGATATCATAATTTCCAGATAAATCAAATTTGGAACTAAAAAATGTCCTAATTTTCTTTCACTTGAGGCGGTATTAATGTTTATTATGCTAAATGCTCTTTAGTTCAAATGTAATTCCTGAAAATTCTTTTAGGACTAAAAAAACTTGTCTGATTTTTTCATTGGACAATTGAAATTTTTTTTAACGCAAAAAGGCGTGGCTACAAAGTATTAACAGTATTATGAAATTCGTTTTTCTGATGTTTGTTTATGAGTTTTCACTTAAACTTTAAGTCTTGATGTCATGTTAAGTTTTTCGGATACGTTTAAGCTCGAAAATAATTTATAATATTTTAGTTCTATTAAATTTTTTTTAAATTCTTACGAGAACAGCATTAAACACCAAGCAATCAACAACAGACCCCCTTGCCCTCTAGAAATAATTAAAGTAAGTGATTTTAATTGATATGATAGATTTGTGTAGTTGAAATTAAAAATATCTACTAAAATCTTAAAACTTAAATTTGTTGTTATGCTGTACTTGTGGAGAACTACATTTCTGAACAAGATTAAATGTTAACCATATGCTCCTGTCAGCTTAGGATATTCTTCTCAGTTTATATCTGTAAATATTGAACTACTACCAAACCACATGAAAATAAATTATTTACCTGTGAAAGAAAAATTAAAAAAATAATAATTTGGTTTAAGCCATTGTAAACAATGGTTTGCGACGACAGTTTAGTTTTTATGTTTATCAAAGATCCAAATAACCTGATAGCATGAAAATCTTTAAATGCAATAGGCTATGATGACTTGGACACCTATTACAAATTGACTATATCCATTATACTTGCACTAGGATACGCTCAGGTAGCGTGGTCAGGCAAACTCATGGTAATTCGCCTCTCGTATTCCTCTTGCTTCCCTCTCGCTCCCTCAGTGTCAGATCCGCCTAAAGGATAGTTGGAAGAACCTTGCTGAGGATGAGATCGGATGGCATAAGATTAATAGTGACCGACCTACCCCCAGAAGAGTTTTGGGATAAGGGTAATACATAAGCTAGCTGGGACATCATTGGCTTGCAACAGACGGTACTGCCTTGAAAAATAATGTTTAAGCAACATGTTTAGGCAACAATTAGTCTAAGCAAATTAATGCAAGTTTAATAAGTAAATTTTAACAATTATTATTTATTTACTTTTCGACTTATATTACACTTCAAATTATGTTTTGCAATTCGTAAAAAAGTAAAACCTTTTGTATAATAGAAAAAAGTGAACATTTCTTAAAAAATGTATCGAATACTACTATTATCAAACACACTACTTTATTCCTTCTTCCTAAAATACAAAGACATCTTAAAATTTTTCTTGTACCAAATATGAGTCTCAAAATAAAAGTAAAGATTAAATACAACTAATGACTAACATCAACTATTATCGTCGTACTTTTTGAAATTATTCATGTACATGAGATATAACATTATAAGGGAAAGAAAGCAGTAAAAAAATAGTTCAAATACGTATAAAAGTGTATTAATTCCCTTAATTAAGATATACGTGCAGGAAATTACTTTTAAATCTTTGTTAGTGTCTTTAACTTGTTTTATCTGTTAAATTTATCATAAATATAACCATTTTATTGACAAAATTTAAAAAAAATTCTGATGGTACTTATTAAAAGAGACGTTTTGAAAAATTTCAATTAATATTTTCGGTTTTAAAAACGTCAAGTTAAATGATTAATACTATTATTAGTTAATCATTTTTGTTAATGTCTATGGTCTTAGTTTGATAGAAGAATAAAAATGTTAACTATCTTATCATTTCGAGAAGACCATATCTTCTTGAATTTAATGGACTTTATTTTTTGATGAAATAAATTGACAAGCAATACTAATTAACTAGCATTTAATGTAAATAACTTCTAAGTGTGAAAGCATATATGCATAAATGCTTACATATTGTAATCAAATTTTATTGTCAATAAATCAAATTTCTATTTTTTTCTCCATTTTCAATATACATTTCTTTATTTATTTGTATGGCAAATTTATATTTTCGTATTCTGTTAAAAATAAATGGTTGACTAGTAATAATGATTGAACTGTGGATTACACATGATGAATAGATAATTATTCTTTAATAGTTATTAAAAAAGGGCTTAGCAAGAATAAGTTATGATTTAAGCATGATAACGTGTTATTTATTCCTTTATTACTGATAAATTGATGATGAATAATTAATTTTTCACTTGTCTCTCCAAACGTGCATCAGAGGGACAAAATGCATACAGGTCGAAGATTTAAATGTGAACTTTAAAAAAAAATCCGTTCAAAATTCATAGAAAAATTATAGTCCAATACATACTATTAACATAGGTCGATATTTTTAAGAGTAAACACGCTCAAGCATAAAATAATAAAGTGGGTTATGGAAGGATTATAAATCATTATTCTCTATGTTACTTAATTGTTTTCAAAACCTTTAGCCTTCGAAAATATAAATAACTAAATAACAAATTTTAAAATAAATATTAAATTGTAATCCGTTAAAAATTCATAGAAAAATTATAAGCTAATATGTATTTTTAGCAAAGGTGGATATTTTAAACAGTGAACATGTTCTTGCATAAAATCATTAAAGTGAAAATTATATGGAAGAATTATAAATTATCACTCTCTACGTTACTGAACAGTTTTAAAAAATCTTTAAACATCGAAAATAAAAATAACGAAATAAAAAAATTTTTAAAATTATAATTTTATTTCATAAGAAAGATGAAAATGTATTTATTATCTTTCTAAATTATTAGTAATAACCTAATTATTGATTTATTTTAATATTTATTTTCAGATGTAATTTTTCCTCACTGACTGGTTGACATAATGGATTGATTCAGCAGAAAACGCTTCAAAAATTGGTCATTTATGTTTTAATCTCATTACCTTTTGTTACAAACTTATTTTTGCATGACTTATTTAAACAATATATCGTACAAATCTGTCAGTTTCCATTACAGTAAACTACTCTTTTAAAAATATTTTTGCATGAACAAAAAGGAAATTAGATTTAGAATATTTATATTCGTTTTTGAACTCGTAAAACTCTATGGTAACAGCTTAAATCTTCTTACATTCATTTAATATTTCTGTATAACTAGCAGTAGATTTAGACCATTAAAATAGTAGTATACAACACTTACATACTTATTGTAAGAATGTAGAAGTTATGTGCTTAAACTTTTGATGTATTTTCGAATTTATGTATAAGCTGCTTAACGTGCAAATAAACTAGAGTAACATCAAACCTTTGTTTTGTTCATTTAATCAGCCATTGTTAATGAAATAAAACTGTGGCTAATGGTACCAACACTAACACAAACCTACACTATATACTAATATTTTTGAGTTATTGCAAGTCATACTTACAGTGCTCAAAGAAAAAACGACCCGCACTGAATAATTTTGATAGAAAAAAGTCGTACCCTTAAAATTCGGTTTCTCAACTGATTGCACTCAAATTTTATATTCTACTATGTAAAATGACATTCTTTAAACTGATTAAAAAGAATTTATAACTTACAACTCAAAATGTTTTCGACTATTAATAAATAAAATAATAAAACTCTATTAAAAGTTTTTTTTCCATAGAATTAACTTTTACAAAAACTTTCATTATCTGTACTATCTATCCTTATTGTGGAAGCAGCGTTGATCCACCTAATAGGGTGCCCCTGAAAGAGGAGCCAATAAAATCTGCCCTCCGGACACCTGAATGACGAGTGTCAATCGAGTGGACAATGAAATAAAAGAAAGAAGAAAAGAAAAAAACCTTTGAATAAACAAATTTCATAATTGTGTGCAACATTTTTTCAATTCGTTAAAAAAGTTCCCTACATAGATATGACGAAATATGCAAAATGTAAAATAAACGTTAAAAGATCCTAACTTGAGACCGCTATCTTGACCAAACTTCCCAGTTTGCGGCTACCCCCTTATAGTTTTTTTTCGGGGGGGGGGGGGGAAAAANTCGTCAAAAAAAAAATATTTATATTCAGAATAAGTACATTTTTGTCTCTGATTTCGCAACTTAAAATATAGTCTGATCTTATTAATTAGCATATTTCAGGTCACCCCCTTAATCCTTTGAGATAGAGTTCTCGAATATTATGATCCGATCATTATATTAAAAGTTATTCATAAGGGTTCACTTTTTTGGCATTACATCATATATATTATTTAGAATTGTTATACGCACACTTGGCCAAGAATTTGACATCTTAAATTAATAATTTATTGAACCTCCTTCAGCACGGATTACAGCTCATATTAGCGAGAACAATGATTTTACGAGCATTTATGTCCAGAGAATACCATCTATTGGCTACGCAGACTTTAAAATCCTGTAAATTAGATGGAAAAGGAGGTTGCTGGCATCCTAGCAACACGTCCCAAACATTTTCTATGGGGTTGAGATCCAGGCTTTTCATCGGTCAGGGAAGTTGTTGAAAGCCAGATTGGTGTTCACTGAACCAATTTCGAATGTTTCAGGCAGAAGTATAGTGTATATAGATGCTTTATCGTCCAGAAAGGCTCCACCCTCTTCGGAACAAAGATGTAACATTGCAAGATGCACTTAATCTAAACTATATTACTAGGTATTGTAGGACTATTTGTTTACCTTCGAGAAATATCAAGTTCTATATACTAGCAGAACATGGTACACTCTTACTACACCATCGCATAGTGCAAACAAGGCAAAGTGAGCTCCGGGATTAGTGGGGATCTCATTAAATTCGATGTTTTTCAATAATGCAAAACAAAATGCAGGGTGTTTCATTCGCTCACATAACCCTGAGTACTGGGAAGTCCTCAGATGCTCAGTAAAATGAAAGCTTCCATATCTCAACACTGATGATAGTATTTGACTACAGTACAACAACTGTCTGCCGATTGTTCGAACTTGTATATTTTTCCGCTCTTTATATTAAAGAGATTATGCACTCTCATATACAGCGACGTGCAAAAACCTCTGTTAATTTTATTCCTCATAACATTTTTCAGTTTTCGTCTGTTTAAATGAGTGGGAAATAAATCATTTTTATTATATTTTTGACAAGCTGTATACTCATTGCTCATACTGGTTGGAAAAAAGTAAATAACCAATAAATTGGTATTACTTAACACCAACGAAATCAATCACAGTACCGAAACAACTAATTAAGCTAAAACATGTTTAATTATTATTATTTATTGGCCTTCCCGGTGTCTTTACGTTACTAGATTAAGCATAATATGTTCTTAGTAGTTTATTCCATCAAAATAAAGATTAACTATGTACATGATTTGACCTATTCGGCGTATTGCTATTCGAGGTCAGCTATAATCGATTGTTACAAAAAGTTACTAAAATCAATGCTTTCGTCTGGAACCTATCCCGTTCGTAAGGTCATAAGAGACCTATTTCCACAATATCTACAGTAGGTATCTTGGTAACAATATTAGCATATTTAGTAAATATTAAAAAAAAAACACCACTGACACGATAAAAGTAGTATCTATTTTCATTATTAAGCATCATTAGTGTTAATATCAGTATAGCAATATTTTACGGTTCTAATATACGAACAAATACCACTTTTACATAAATTTAGCTTAAAACAATTTTTTAAAATTTCAATTTGTAAATATTACCAAAATTAATTCATTGCAATTCTATAAAATAGTTAGTAACGACTCTAATATTTTTAAAAGCATTTTTGGCGAACTGATATCGGTACTTATTTCGAAACCTGTAAAGAATCGCCAAATTATTATTCCCGCCGGTGATGGTTAGCTAAATGTGGTAAAAAAATACTATTGATATTTGCGTTATTGGTGCTGTGGTGATGAGAGCATATTATACCAATATATGTGCCTACAGTGCTGGAAAAAAGTATGAAGTCGAGCAAAAAGTCACCATATAAAAGAAACACCACTGTTATGGCTAAATATGCAAATTTATTTTCTACTTGCAAATGTAAAGCTTCATTGCGTTGGATAACAATTTTATTTTTCTTCTGCAAAAAAATGCTATTAAGTTTTAATTATTTGTAAAAAATGCTATAAGTTATTTGCTATTTAAATCATGGCAAAATTAATATAATCATTGAAAAACAATTTGTAAAAAGTATAAAATCGATACTAATTACGTATTTGTGAGGCACAAAACATGAGAAGAAGCGGTACAAGAAGCAAATCCGAGTTAAAAGCAGATTTCGGTTGTTTGCACGTGCAATACAATGCAAAGGGGTACGAATTTAACGGAAGGCAAACGAGGTAGAATTTTAGCTTTTAAAAAAATAGGATGGAAAGGGTCTCAAATTTCAAGAAAAATAGTGAAATTGTTACCTAATAATAGTTATCTCATTAATAGTTAATCTAACTGAATATTTACCTCAGGAATCCCGAAATTTATGGAAGTAAACATCTTATTGGAAGTCAAAAAAAATTTCTTCAAGGCACGAGTCTGCAAGCTTGCTAGTCGCGGTAAGAGTGTCATCTTCTCAAATTAAAGATGAACAATACAGTACCCCAATTAATGCAGATGAACAATGCAGTGCAGAACAAATTAATACCCCAAGGAACCATTATTTAAGTAATAATTCGAACATTCAATTTAAATATTTTAACGGAAAACCTCCGCTCACTAAATACCACAAAAATGCTAGTTAAACATTTGCAAAGAAATATCTTATGAAAAGTACGAATTGGAATGATGCGGTCTTTTCTGACGAAAAGGCTGGACCAGATGGCTGTCGGTATATTTGGTACGACTTACTGACTGAACCACAGTTATTTTCCAAACGTCAATTCGGTGGTGAGTCTGTAATAAATTGGGCCGTTTTTGCAGCAGGCAATACAAGTCCAATTATATTTATGCAAACTAAAATGAATTCAATTATGTATCAGGACACATTGGGAGATAATTTATTGCCTGTTTCTCCTCTTATAACATCTGGAGACCGAGTCATTCAACAGAACAATGCGGCAATCCACATTTTACATTCAACTAAATCCTGGATGAAAGCAATTGATGTTAAATCCTTTGAGTGGCCTTCTCGTAGCTCAGATCTGAATATGATAGAAAATCTTTGGGGCATATATTAGTGAGTAATGTTTACGGACCTGGCAGACAAATCAATAGCAAGTCGCATTTGATTGATGCAATCAAGATGTCGTGGAACAATATTGATACCAGAATTTTACGAACTCTATCTCAGTCCATGAAGGCGAAATTGATAAATGTAATCGAAAACAAAGGATCTCACATTGATTATTAGAGTAATAATTGAAACCGGCTTTACTTTCTTTGTGTTGAAATCTTATTACAACAACAGATAAAGTAATTTTGTGGAGTATATTTTATTAATTTATTTTGCTTTTGATTTTATTACGTCATAATCTATGGCTATATTATAAAAAAAAACATATAAGTCCCTTCTTTTTACCTTTTATCACTTTCAGTAGCTTTATACTTCCTTCATTATTTTTCCAGCACTATAATATAGAGACTGCTGTTATAGGTTTCTTACCACCCTCCTAAATGAATAAGTACCCTATTACCACCATATTGCACCGACTCACCAAAGGAAAGATTAACTTAAGACATAGTATTATTTAACCTATTATAATCCAAATTTACCATTATTCTCCTATGACTTTTCAGATAACTTCAATTTTATTATATTAGTGCTTGTTGAGTTTCCATTATTTAAAGTTTGCAGCGACACGCTTTAAAAGCGTCAATATCGAAATAAGAGCCGTAGTGGCTCAGGGGACAGAGCGTTCATCTTCCAATCCCAGCGATAGCTGATCAATACAAATTCCGCAACCAGCTCGCACCGATCACAGCGCGCATAAAATATCCTCAGTGGTAGACGGATCATGGGTTAGAATCCCCTTGCTGTCAGGCTAACCGTGAGAGGTTTTCGGGATTTTCTCCCCATGTAATGCAAATACGGGTTAGTTTCCTTAAAAAGTTCTCCATAAAATCAAATTTCTCTCAATAATTGGTTCAGGAGTTTCCTCGTCAGCTGGACTGGGTTAAAATTACGAAGATACGGAGTTGAACGTTAGAAGTCGTAAATCGATCGTTAGGTTATATTAACTTCTAGTATAAATATCAGTTAAATAATTTTAGCTAATTATTTTTAGTATTTTAATAATTTGAATTGCTGTTCTTGCTTAAAATTGATAAGATATTTCTTAAGTACAAAGTATAATTGCGGCCTTCTCACAAGTAAACTTATAAAATTTTTTCCCTTA